TCCTGAGAAACTAGAGATGCTGAGATGCTATGGCATCCGGAATTGTGTTCTTGATACTGCCCATGGTTTTTGCTCAGAATAAGAGACATAGGGCCACTTCTATGAATTACCGATGATAGATACGAAAGGAAACATAAGTTATACTTTAGTAGGCAATCTTCATATACTAGTCTTTGCACACTTAAATAAGCTTAAACTATTAGCTGTAGATTTAGATATGCTTTGCATCTTTTTTCAAATGTGATTTTGCCAAACTCAGAGAGAAAATAGGGTTCAGGAGAAAGACATATTATAAAAAAAAAAACTTATAATGCATTTCCCTAATGAAATGTATTACAACACTACATTAATCAAAATAGTGTGCTATTTACTTACAGAAAATTTGGAAATAGAACCAATCAGGACATGACAAGGTTAGCATTTCAAATAAGTAGGGAAATGATAAATTATCCTATAAAGACTGTTAAGTCAGAACAGGTAACTCACACCTATAATCCCAGCACTTGGAGAGACTAAGGCAAGAGGATTACTGTTGAGCTCAAAGCCACCATGGACTATATAGTGAGTTCCAGGTCAGCATGAGCTACAGAGTGAGACTTTGTCTCTAAAAATTAAAAAAAATAAAAAGAATACTGATATAATCAGCCAACAAATTCTGAATCAAAACTAAATCCAACCTCTATCTTACACCTAGCAACAAAATTAATTCAAGGTAGATTAACATTTAAATTGTTTCATAAAATAAGCACATAGAGGAAAATACAGGTATATTTCCATAAAAGATTTAGGTTAAAAAACCTTTGTAAGCAGAGTGCCAATGAACAACATAAATCGCTAAACCAAATGTGGTGGCTCATACCTGTAATCCTAACACTCATTTGAAAAGGAGGATCACGATGAGTTAGGGGACCACTGAGGCCACAGCGTGAGCCCCAGGCCATCATGCACCTCAATGTCAGACTCTATCTCCAAAGACAAAAAAAACTGGCTTAACTTTAAAAAGTATTACTTCTATAGACCAAGAAATGTTATCAAATTATAGAAAAATGTGCTTTGGGGTTTATGAAAAAGCAATAATATCCTTAATATTACAAAGTCCTTCAAATTAATAAAAAACTACTTCATTTATAAAAGAGAGCAGGATCGTGAAGACAGGACATGCTTCAGATACAGGACTTGGAGGAATGGAGCAGGAACTGACCTGGAGGCCTTCTATCCAGATGATAATATGCAAACCGCCAAGGGAGAAAAACAATCAATGTTTTTCTCCAACCCAGCCCTAAACCCTAATAACAGTAATGACCCACACAGCAAACTTTACCTCTATTGGTGCAGTAGTGGCACTGTTATATGGGGGGCAATCAACAGTTATCTAATTGGACTTAAAGCCCTCTCATGGGAGTGAACTCAAGGCTGGTGCTGTAAACCCAGCCAAATACACATGGCTAGAGAGGACATAGAGCCTACAGAAAACCCCATCTCTTTCATATCTCTAGACAAATGATATTTCTTGCCATATGCTAAATATGGATCCTCATATTTACAGACAAGCATACTGTATACCACTCATCAAAGAAGCTTCTTTTTGCAACAGATGGAGGCTACTACAGAATTCCACAACTGGTCAGACACAGAATATATGTCTGAGAGATACCAAGGTGACACATCAGCAGTTGAACCTCTACACCTAAGGCTTATGGAACAAAGAAGAATAAAGGGTAGAGAGAAAACTAATGAATCCCTCAACTCTCACCAGTAAAGCTTCCTTATACAACAGAGTGTGATGCACACAGAAGTCCACAACTGGCCAAGTTTTAAAGAATAAGAGACTGCAGAATGTGTATCCTTGGACAAGTCGCTTATTTTGAACCTTACCCACCTACGGTTCAGGGACCATTACAGAAGAGGGAGGCAGAAAGAGCCAGGGCTGGTTCATGAACACAGGGAAGCAGAGGCTTTCAGGTTACTGGAAGCTTGAGCATGTCAACTTGTGGCAATGGTGGCATGGAGCAAAAGAACCCATGCAACTCAATTAATCAAGGGTTCAGAGGGGAAGAGAGGTAGCTGACCAGCCCGAGACTAAGAACTATTGGAGACTGATTGATGCTGGATGAGGGAGTGTATGCCTTACTTACAATCTCTATATGGGCTGACTAGACCCCAGTAGATGAATTTATTCTGAAGGGCATCTGGGTACATATGCTTGACTGGAGAGGACTTACCATGTATTGTGGAATACATGAGGTTCAGTGGTGGGGGGGGTGGGGGGCATGGATGGGGGAGAGGGTCTAAATTTGATTAAGAACCTCTATATAAAATTACAAAAGCTCAATAAAAAAAAATTTTAAAGAGCAGGATTAGAACGAGTGAGATGGCCCAGTGGGCAAAGGCACCTGCTGCCAAGTCTGAGAACCTCAGTTTTATCCCTGGATCCCATACAATGGAAGGAGAGAAACAAATGTTCAATTCATTGGCCCATTTACTGATTGGAAATTTTGTTTTGGTGATGTTAAACTTTTGCCGTTCTTTATATACTCTAGATAGTAACCCCTTGACTGAGGTATAGCTGGCAAAGATTTTTTCCCATTCTGTAGGTTGTCTACTCTTGGCAGTTAGTTCTTCTGATGTGCTGAACCTAAGTTTTTTTGTTTGTTTGTTTTTAAATACTTTATTATTTTTATTTTATGTGTATAAGTGTATTGCCTGCATGTATGTGAGTGCACCCGTGTCATGCAATGCCACCGAGGTCAGAAGAGGGCTTCAAATTCCCCTAGAACTGGAGTTAAGGATGGTTCGTAGCCACCATGTGGGTGCTGGGAATCAAACCTGGGTCCTCTACAAGAGCAGTCAGTGCTCTTAACCACTGAGCCATCTCTCCAGCCTGAAACTTTAAGTTTTTAACATTTATTTATCTCGTTGTGTGCACATGTGCAAATGTGTATGTGTTTGGGAGTGCACATGCCATAATGCACAGGTAAAGCCTGGGGACAACCTGAAGGAGTCAGTTCTCTCCATCATGTGAGTTCTGGGGACTGAACTCTGGTCTTAAGGTTTGTCAGCAAGCCTTTACCAGCTGAGCCACCTGGTGACCCCATGAAGGTTTTAATTTCATATAATCCATTTGTCAATTCTTATGATGGTTTCCTGTGTTATTGGGGTTCCTGTCATAATGTTCTTTCCTGCACCTATATCCTAATGTTTTCCCTAGCAGCTTCACTGTTTGGATTGTAAATTTTTTTTAAAAAAATCTTTGCTCTACTTTGAATTATTGTGCAGGGTAAGAGATATAGAGCTAATCTCATTCTTCTGCAGGTGGGTACCCAGTTTTGCTAGCACCATTTATTAAACAGGCTGTCTTTTTTTCCAGTGTACATTTTGACACCTTTGTCAAAAATTAGGTATCTATGGCCATGTGGGTTTATTTCCATATCAGTTAATTCTTATTGACAGCTAAAAAGACTGAACTATTAAGTTAACAATAATAATTTTAAAAAGATTACAAAACACACATACCCTTTTTTTTTTTTTTTTGAAACAGGGTCTCCCTGTAGCCCCAGCTAGTCTGGACTCACTACATAGGCCAGATTGGCCTCGATCACACAGAGATCTGCCTGCTTCTGCCTCCAGAGTACAGGGATTAAAGGTATGTACCAACACATCTAACTCTAATCTTTTTTTGATATTTCAATTAGGACATACAAAATAGCAAAGTAGTTTTCAATAAGGTACTCTAATTCTGTATTTTAAAAATAGAAACTTGGAAAAGTTCATCTTAAAAAAAAATCCTTCAATATAGAAGGGTTAGCCCAGATGGAGCACCCAATTTCTTAAGAGAAACACCTGATACAGCATAAACCCAAATCTCTCAAGCCCTGGAAGTTTCTAAGCTCTCAGCACCAGACCCAGAAAGGAATGTACATGAAGAGGTATTACCACTCACATCAAAACTCCATGCTAAACTATTTCAGTAGCCTGAGTCTGGTTCTTGGAGCTCTAAAATGTTGGACATTCCCTGTATAAAGAAAAAGGACCCCAAAGTTCTCAGAGAAATCCAAGGCCCTGTTTACAGCATGCCTGCCCGCACAAAACTGAAAGACTGCCTATGTGATGTTTGGAAAAGGTTTCAAAATAACCCTGACACAAATTACCAACTGCCTCTAACTCTAAAGATTTCACTATCATATAAGTGAGTTAAAAGCAATGGACTCCATAACATTTTGGCTTTAAAAAATAGTCACAAATATACATACAAACAAGGGGAAAGCAGAAATACACACACACACACACACACACACACACACACACACACACACACACACATATGCAAAATTGGCTGATATCACAAGATAGACCCAGGGGAAAGCAAGAAATAGGAAAAATCAGTAATAGATTTTTACAAAAGAAGTTATACAGGCTTGAGTGACGTGATACCTAGTGAGGGAACCCTCAGCAGCCAGAAGACTGAAGGCATAAAATAGTACCTAGAGGTATCTAACAGGGACAGAAGTCAATTCAAAGACATATGGGGTCTGTTTCTCAGTTTCTACTATTCCATCTCCCTCACTCTTGGGCAGCCAAAACCCCTTCAAGACACTGAGACATACCTACACTCAGAGTGCTTTTCTCTAACCTTACCTGATATGATCTATTTCCTCTGAAAAAGGATCACACTCACAGAGAAAGGGGAAACTTTTGGACTGGGAATTTCACTTTAATCTAAGCACATTACTACTCTGAGAATAAATGGGGGTCTGAAGAGGTGGCTCAGCGGTTAAGAACACTGGCTGTTCTTGCAGAAGACCTGGATTCAAATGTGGGCATCCACATGGCAGCTAACAACTGTCCATAACTCCAGTTCTAGGGGATCCAATAGCCTCTTCTGTCCTCTTCTGGCACTGCACAACATGGGTGCAGTTACCTACATGCAGGCAACACACACATACACATAAAAAAATAATAAAATATTTTTTAAAAAACAGAATAAATCTCCATCCACTTACCAACTGTTTCTTCAGATGCAGCAGTTAAAGACAAAAACTTTTTTGTGTTTTCTATCTCCTCATTATTTTGCAAATCTTCAGTATTTTTTGCAG